AATATTGCAAGAAAACACTCAAACTGAACAGCAGCTTCTTGCTTAGATGTGTTTTAATTTATTTTCATAAAATTTTAATGTTTTAGAACTAGTTGTAATTTACAATGTTTTGCCATAAGTCTTGTGTTGTAGGCAAATAAGATTATCTTAAAATTGTTCCATTTTTTGAAATTTTCTGTCCTCAAATTATTATATATTATTCTTATGTATTATTACATGCTATGTTACAGGTTTATACAGAGGAGAGAAGCAAGCCATGAAGTTTGGTATCCCGCAAATTTGTCCAGAGCCAACGAACCAATTAAACAACTGCTACTTCTGCATGGTAAACCAAAAGAATTGTTGTACCGACACAAATGTACCTCAGATTGTTTATCCGGACACACCTTATTCCATCACCTGATGACCTCCCATCCATAGTATGACAACTACGGAAGAGAGGTCATCAGTGACTTCAAAATGCTATCATTCTTTATGGGTCTTTCAGGAAGCTGGTACAACCTTGACACTAAGGCGCATTATGGCACAAAAGACTGGCCATAACAGACCAAGTTTTCTGTTGGGAAGAGCAATGTGAAGTGGGAGCCGCTGACAGAACCTCATAAAGTATTTTAAATAATTTAAAAGTTAAAAAATGATAAAAAGTCACTAAACCAAAATCACTTACAGTTACATAAAATCGCTAAGGGCATACGTATATTGGTCTTTTCATGTAACGCTTTAAAACAAGGCCTGCAGAGTCATTCACAGTACAATCATAAATCTATAAAATCTAAACATTTCTAAACCTTGTTGAGTGGTTTACGACTTTTGTCTATTCCTTGTGCAATTATTGTTTGATCACTGACGAAAATGAAAAAAAATCATTCAATTTTGACAAAAATACAATTTTCTTCGTGCTGTTGTCGTGTAAGCAAAGCTTGTGCTTAATGAAGTCATTTTTTCGCATACTTTAGACATACGCAATTGAAATATAATTCTTAGAAGCCAGGAACAAAAATTGTGTTACATAGTGTAATTGGCAGAAGTGCTTATGAGTTCAAACTTTTTAATAATGATTATGTCAATATTATGAGTTATGTAAGTCAGAGATAAACAAATTAGCGTATTTGTGCTTCATGAATATACACATTTCTTTGTTCAGCTAATATTTTACTTTTTCTTAAAAAGTAACAAAAAATTGGCATAAAAGTAACAAAAAATTGGCACTGCTTTTTTGTAGGTATTGGAATCTAGCACAATAAAAATTTTTCCTAATTTTGCATTATTTAGTAATTTTAGGGTACAATAACTCAAAATTTGTTTAAAAACCAGTCAAAAACAGCTGCAAAATATTATTTGGCATAAAATAAATTATTATACAAAACTTTAGGTGATCACCTCTTTTATTTACACCTCATTTATTTATACCTACATAATCACCTCTTTTATTTACAAACCTATGGTCTGTCATAAATTAAAAAATCTACTGTAAGCTCTAGATACTAAACTTTTTACAATTTCAGTCATTTTTTTCAATTAGGATAATAAAGCTTTACTTTAAAACAGATCAGTCAATCGAACTGAATTTTTCAGGACTTTTTTTTTAAAATTTGTGGGTATTCAAAATTTGGAGCAAATCTGAGGGGTACCTAGTGGCCATTAGGTAATTTGAAATGGAATGACCTTAGGGTAGATCTTAAAGAGATTCCTATGTGTAACGGGTTATAACTAAAAAATGGTAATAACTTTGAAGGGGCATAACTCCCTTTGTTCATGAAATAAAAACATTAAAAAAATTGTTACACAGCAAATATCAAGTGTATCATTGTGCCCCCTCTCCCCAATATTTATTTTTTAAGTTATAAAAATAATTAAATATAAAAGTTTGTATTCCTAAAGTAATTACTATTTAAAATAAAAAGAATGATTATTAAAAATAGATATTAAAAATATTTGTGACATTAGTTTTTAGTGTTTTAGTAGCAAATAACACAAAAGGCATTATTCTTCCAAAAAAAAGTGGTATACAATGGTATAAAAGTACTCCTGCACAAAAGAATCCTTTAATACAGTTTCAAGCTTTATTTTTAAAATGTTCAGAGATTTTAGTGATGATTTGTGTGCCTGAAGTATGACAAATTGTTGAAAAATTGTTTAGAAATACATTTAGACCAAACTCTATCTTTATAATCTTTAAAACAAAAGTAGTTTTTTTTTTCATTGATCTCTTTAAAGTGCAATGGATTTAAATATACATCTAAACTTTATTATTTCACTAATTGATAAGGTTTAACATATAAAACTTGGCAGTACTGTCAGGGTTGTAAGTTAACTAAACTTAATTAAAAATTGGTAAAATCATGTATATTAGTTTAGCTATATTTGTAGTTTTGAATTTAATTTTGCTTTAAAGTGATATAATTATTATAATAACAACCGCATACAAATATTATAATTATAATAATTATTAATTTAACACTTTTATGTTCACTGATCTTATATTTGAAACTAAAACTGTCATTTCCTATCATCAGCGACAAACATCAATGCGGTAGTGGTGTAGTGGTAGAGCGCTCGCTTCATAAACGAGTGGTTCCGAGTTCGATCCCCACCACGTCCCTGGTAGTACCGCGCTCAACTCGTTTCTCCGCACAGCGGCCTTGTTCGTCAAGGTTCGTGTTTCGGAGTTATAGAGTTGAGAGAGGGTTATAGCCACAAAATAAGTAGCCTCCTCGTTTGTAGTGGCCTTCTCGGCCTTGAGGAGGTGAAGTAAAATAAAAAAAAAAAAAAAAAAAAACAGGACTCTGTTTTATAATCAGATATAACTTGTATATCTTAACCATTTATTCTATATGTTGGCAATTTTTTAGTAAATACTGTAATGTAACTACAAAACTAAACAAGTAATGACTTTCATTGTGATAGAACAATATAGATCAAAATTATTATTTTTGGGTTATTTAAATAAATAAAATATGCTTATGACACATAAGAATCCCTTCACAATAACATTTTTAAAAAAGTGCTTCCACCCCCAGGCTTGGTCAGGAAGGTGTGCGATTTCACGGCTTTATATGACCATGCAAATAATATTTTGTTTTGACGATTTGACCACAGTTTTAACATTTTAATAAAGCGCTGAAAACTTAACTTAGTTATAAGGAAACTAAAAAAACAAACTTATTTTAAAAAAAGGAAAAAAATCTTCTTAAAAAAATAATGAAAAATAAAATAAAAATAGCTTAGTAATAAATAACTAAAACAAAAATAAAAAAAACAAAAACAAAACTTGACTAAAATAAATAATAAACAATAAGATAATTACGTTTGATATAAATAACTTTGAATATTTACTAATGTTTTTATAATGTAAAACTAGTAGTGTCCCGTCTGCTTTGTTACCGCACCATATAAAATTATATTATAGTAAAAAATAATAATAATAAATAGTACTAATCGACAAAAAAAATGTAAATAAAGACTTTTGTTTTATGTAATAAACTTCATTGCACATTAGTGGTATTTTTTAAATAAACGATTAAACTTAACGAGGAAACTTTTATTAATGACGCCTTTTTCATTTTCTTTTTTTTTGTAGAGGAGGGGGGGGGGGAGGATGTGATTCACAGAAATGACAACTAAGTTACGAACCAATTGACAAAAAAATGTAAATAAACACTTTTGTTTTATATAATAAACTTCATTGCACATTAGTGGTATTTTTTAAATAAACGATTAAACTTAACGAGGAAACTTTTATTAATGACGCCTTTTTCTTTTCTTTTTTTTTGTAGAGGGGGCGGGGGGAGGATGTGATTCACAGAAATGACAACTAAGTTACAAACCAATTGACAAAAAAATGTAAATAAACACTTTTGTTTTATATAAAAAACTTCATCGCACATTAGTGGTATTTTTTAAAAAAACAATTAAACTTAACGAGGAAACTTTTATTAATGACGCCTTTTTTTTTTTTTTTAAAGAGGGGGGGGGGGAGGATGTGATTCACAAAAATGACGACTGACTTACAAACCAAAAAAAATATTTTTAAATAAAGTCGCACATTTAAAAGATAACAACAAAAAAAAAAACTTTACAATTCAAAAATATAAATAATTTTTTTTTTTTTTCAACTATATTTATTTATTTTTTTTAACTTGCATTCTTGCAAAAAAAAAAACTGTTATATTTCAAGTATATTAACTTTAATCTATAACTTTTTTATTTAAAGACGAAGGAAAACTACATTATTACTTTAATGCAAAAAAATCATTAGCAGTTAATTGTTACTTAATTTAAAACCATTTTAATAATATAAAAACATTACAAAGTTTAATTTAAACAGCTGTCTTTATTTCAAAAGTTTGTCTTTTTTCCTTCTCAACAAAATCTTTTCGAATGTATTAACTTTAACGATTCTTAAATAAAGTTTATTAATGAGGCAATCGTTGTTCAAGTCGTCGCTTACAAAATTACAATAATTAAAAAGAAAATAAGATCAATTATAAAAAAATGTTATTTTATTAATTATATAATCTTATATATATATTTGAATAATATAAATAAAAATTATACAACTTTCATCTATACTTTAAATTAAAATGTAAACAGTAACTGCTACTTTATTTAAAAGCATTTCGCTAATATAAAAACCTTAGTAAAGATAAAAGTAATTTTGATGTAATTAAAAATTATTTTTTTTAGCGCATTTTTAAAAACCGTGGTTAAATCATCAAAATAAATTATTACTTGCGTGGTCATATAATGGATCGCACGCCTTCCTGACCAAGCCTGTTCCGCCTCTAAATGTGATATGCAATAAAAGACCTAAAAAACTTTTCAATTTTTATTTTAAAAATTCATTTTTAATTTCAAAATAAATAAGACAATATTTTGCTCAGTTTAATTATAATATATTAGAGTCTGCTTAAATATCAGTTGTTTTAGATTAGTAAACATTCTTTTTATCTCTTTTGTTTTGGATAAGTAAACATTCTTTTCATCTCTAAATTAATTACCTTCATGATCAAGATTATTCTGTTGTATACTAGTAAAGGGAGTGGAATCATGTTCAATATGTTC